AGGGTCTTCCTTTCAGATTTTGGTCATTTTCTCGCCATATATTTTCCGTGCATTTTCTTTAGCAGTTTTGATCATTCACAAGGACATTTTCAGACATAAGGAAGAGAGGCAACCACAGCAAGCTGACCCATAAAGGCTACCTCCTGATCTGGAGTGAAACACCTGAAAAAAATTTTTAAATCTTGATATCGACTCCTAATAATAGGATAGAGCAGATTAAGCATTTGGTTTCTGATCTCATGGTCTTAGTTTTTCAAAACGGTCAAAAAGGTCAGATAGAACGTTGTAATCCTGAGGTACGGTAATGGGATGCTAGGCCTCACACACACACACACACACACACACACACACACACACACACACACACACACGTACACACACACACACACAAATCAACAAACAGTGAACACGCAAACCACTTCCCCAGCCCTGGAGATGGTCAACATGACGTCACAACTGTCCCCCGGTCCCATGGAGTGCCGAGATGACCACAGGGGAGGCTCAACCTTCACCACTCTGGCCGCGTGAGTTCACACAGTCGTTTTTTTTTCAACTTTAATTCTTTCATTTTTCATTTTTGTTGATTTGTGTTGAAAGAGACATAAAGAGAAGGAAAAAAAACCTTTATAATAGTAAAGATTATTGTTGAATGTAAAAAAAACAAACCAGAATGCATGGTATTATAAAAAAAAGTAGCAAAACCTAGTTGTAATCTCATTAGCTAAGGTGAAAAGGTCAAACAAGTCCAACAGTTTAAATATCTAGGATATATGATAACACCTGATGCCAAATGTTCCACAGAAATAAAACGGAGAATTACAATGGCTAAGGCTAATTTCAATAAAATGAGCCCAATCCTGAAAAATAGAAACATCTCAATGAACACCAAAATGAAAGTTCTGGAATGCTATGTTTGGTCAACCCTTCTATATGGCTGTGAATTCTGGACAATCACTAAAGACAGTGAAAATAAGATAGAAGCGACAGAAATGTGGTTTCTTAGGAGACTGCTAAGAGTATCGTGGAAAGAAAAGAAATCAAATGAGGCAGTGCTTGATGAAGCTCAATGTCAAAAACAATCAGGAAACAACAAATGCAGTTCTGGGACACCTGAATAGACATAAGGGGCTTGAACATCTAGCTCTCACTGGCAAAATTGAGGGCAAGCGAAGCAGGGGTAGGCCCAGAACAACATACTTAGGGAACCTAAACAAATGGGTAACAGGGAAAGATCAGGAAAACGTAGCTTTTTTTTTAAAGAGCATCCGAGCAAAGGAATGAATGGAGAACCATGATCGCCGATGTCTGTCGCAGATCTGGCACTGGATGATGATGATAATAGTAATAACAATAGATTGCACTTGTATAGCGCTCTAGCCCATACGAGTATAAACTCAGAGCGCTTTACATCAATCACATGATCACTGAGCGATTGACATAAGATGAGATATTTCACAGTAATAAGAAAAAACCAGTTTAACCACTCCAGAAGAACTTTCAAAACCATACATTAATTACATACACGTAGGGGCAGCAGCAAAAACAAAACATATTAACACTTACTAACACACTATGACTAAGAATTAAACAAATGAGTGTTGGGCAATCGCTTAAACTTTTTAAATATTAAGATCTGCTGTTTCTCTGAGATCCTGGGACAAGGAGTTCCAGATTTTAAGGCCAGAAAATGAAAAATCTGTCCACAGTGATGTGGTCACTCAAGATCAGAAACAAAACAATAAAAATGACATTCTTTATTATTGTGAACATACACATTGTAAAAATTCCCAGGATATTCTTCTCAATTATTGGCGCACTGATGATCGCGGGCACCGTAGTTGACGTCGTTTTCGTCCAGTGGCCGGCCTGGGAGGCTGAGAGAGTCAAGTCACGTGGTCTCCCCCACGAGGAAAGCACGCCGTTTGAAGGACATGAACCCATAATGTTGGGACAGGACAAACCAGGACAAGAGGGCCGGGCGGGGGAGACAACTGCTCTCTTGGGGCGAACCTTGAACTATGTACCACCGAGTCCATTGTGGGGTGAGTAATGAAATAATGATGACTTATTTTTATTTAGTTTTTCCTTCCTCTAGTATCCTTAGGATGTCGAGGTTAGGTGCAGGATTCAGTCCCGTGCTAAGTATATGGGGTCTGCAATAGATCGATCGATAGATAGATAGATAGATAGATAGACAGATAAATAGAAAGATAGATAGATAAATAGATAGCCTTTCACCCTATGTGTCCAAGAAAAACACTTGGTTTGACTAGCAAAGGCAACAAGATGATATTTCAACCTTTGTATCGTAGAAGGCTGTCGTTATTCTCACCCGGGGTGAAAATAAAAATATATTAAATATAATTTTATTCTCACCCGGGGTGAGAATAATATTATATTATTATTCTCACCCGGTCTGAGAATGCAATGGATTTTTTTTCTTAGGCCTACCTGGGTGTTGAGAACGGATGATACAAAATAATTTGTGAATTGTAAGAAGTTCGTGACCTGCCCCAGAGCGCTGGTCAATTTTTCTAGGCTCCCGCGGGTATTGTTATTTGTTTCATTTTTTTATAATCTTGAGAGTGTTTACGCACATCTTCACCAAAACCCTAGACAAGTGTATTCTAAATTCAGAAAGGAATTCAGTTTTGCCAGAGTAGTATATTTTTGCAAATAATAGCCTTAACTGAAAGCTGTTTAATGAAATCCTGTTAGTAATAGTTTGTCATTGTAATGTTAGAATTGGCATTTGTTTTCAACACAAAAAAACTTGTTTAACTGTTATCCCTAACAGAACCCACAGTTATTTTTAAGGCACGTACCGTAGCCTAGGCTAGTGCCTTGACCCCAGGCTTTTTTTTTCTTAATTTTGATTGGTTAATAAACCATTCAAGAGTAAAATTTTCCATTACAGAATCAATAAATACTGTAGGATCGACAATAGTCCCCTCCCGTGCTCGAGAGCTGGCCCGCCTGTTGGCGATTTTAGTCGCCTCGCGCATCAGTGGAATGAGAGAGGGAGGGTGGCGAGTTTTGTCGCCTGGAGCGCTCAGTAACAGGGATCCTATGTTGCCCGAAACGAAAAAACCAGTTGAGAATAGCAGGCTGTCGTTATTCTCACGCGCGGTGAGAATAAGTATCAATTTTATTCTTACCCGGGGTGAGAATAATATCCAGTTTATCCTCACCCCGGGTGAGAATAATCACTCCGATCCTAGAAATACGTTTGGTCTGACTGGGAAAAATTTCTAAGATGATGTTTCACCATTTGTGTCTCATGGCGAAGTTTCTAAGATGACCTTTCACCCTTTGTGTCCCAGAAATCATCCTGCAGGTCCTGCGCTCCTTCTCCGTCTACTCCAACGCCCTGAAAATCCTGTCTACCAAAGAGGCCCCAGGCGCCATCGGCTGTATTCATGGACTCCGCTTCTTCAGCATGACCTGGGTCACCCTGCTTCATCTTTACATGTTCATTTGGGGTTTTCTAGGTGAAGCGTATTATACTCTAGAGTTGAACAAATACGAGGAGCTTACCAAAAGCTTTTTACCTGACAATGAAGGGATAAAGGTAAAAAGTTGAAATTTGGGGTGGAAGCCAACAATCATCTTCTTAGAGAGCGTATAAATTTTGAGGAATTCCCGATTACTGGTTTTAACATCAGCGTACTGTAAGTGAATGGTAGTATGTTGTTCTCCAGTTTCAACATAAAAACGGAGAAAATTGAGAAGAGGGCAGTAATGACGTTTTTGATCTTGCAAGAAAAGCAACTACAGGACATTTTTACGAAGATGCATGCCGTATATGGAAGTGCTTGCCCATCCTTTGCTATGATAACATTTTGACATAAAAAATTCCAATGCAGATTCATATACATTGAAGATGACCTCCGGAATTGGCGCCCAGTGACAGCAACAACAGAAGAGAATGCGTTGAAAATCAAGAACCTTGTGTTGTCTTTTAGGCGTGTGACAGTGGAACGTTTGAGCAAAGAAACTTTGGAGGCTTAGCATTGAATCAGTTGAACGAAACTTAAATGAACCTTTGAATATGTTCAAGGTTTCTGCGAGATGGGTTCCACGTTTGTTGACTCCTCCTCAAAAAGAGCAACGTGTGGATTGTTGTCAAAAATTGCTTGGTCTGTATGAGAACGATGAAACTAGTTGGGGGGGGGGGGGGGTTGGGTTTTTTTTTTTTTTTTTTTTTTTTTTGGAAAGACTAGTAGCTAAGGATGAGACATGGGTCCACCACTACAATCCTGAATCAAAATCTGCATCAATGCAATGAAAATCGCCCTCGTCTCCAACACCAAGAAGGCAAAAGTGCAGCCATCAAGTGGAAAAGTGATGCTATCAGTTTTTGGGACCAAGCAGGAGTGATTTTGACAGAATAACTTGAAAATGGACATACGATCACCGAAGACCATTATTATAACCAGCTGAAAAAAATTACGAGAGGCTATAAAAGAAAAACGCAGAGACAAGATCCGAGAAGTCATTGTGCTACTTCCCAACAACGCACCAGCACACACTTCAAGAAAAGCTGAAGAAACTGCGCAAGAAAGTGAATTTGTAATTTCGTCACATCCACCCTATTCTCCAGATTTAGTCACGTCCCACTTTTTTTATTCCCCAAACTAAAAAAGGATTTAAAATGAAGGCATTTTGAAAGTAATGATGAGGCCAAAGAAGTGGTAGATGGCTGGTTTTCTGACAATGAGAGGGTCTTCTATTCTCAGGGTCTTTTCAAGGTCATATACTGATACCAAAAATGTATAGCTTTTGGAGGCGACAACATAGAGAAAGATTAAGGTTAGTACCAAGTTTCAGCTTTCTACCTGTATTCCTTCATGGTCTGGTAAAAAAAAAAGTTGGTATCCTCCTCGAATGTGTTACGAAACGGTGGAATCAGACGTTCGTCAATTTTTAAGCAGGCAGAGTTATTGGCATCATCTTAAAGCGTGTTTATTTGCCTATCTTTTGATGAAAAAAAATATTCC